CTTAATCAAAGTAGAAGCACAAAATGCAAACACCTGTTACCAAATCAACAAAAACATGTCAGCAAATCAGGCAGGCAAAATGTTCCTTGTGGCATAGGCAGCCTGAAGTTGACAGAACGAAACGTGGTCACATAGAGCTGTGAAGAAGCTAGTAGAAGCACACAAATGACGAAGTAATAACAAGTAAATAACGTGGGGCAGGCTGCACGCTCTGCTGCTGAACTGCTTCTGAGATGCTTCCAGTGGACTTTGACACCGGGCTATGGACATCAAAGCTGTGGCGCAGCCGTAACCTGCGGTAGCCGGGGGCAGTCGATTCCGGGCGTAAAATTATAGCTCCATCTCAACCAGCTACAACAGTAAAATGCTGTGCATGCATTAATACATCAGGATTAACAACAAAATACTGAATGCAGGACTTTCCCTTTTTTACTTTGTGGTGTTGCCACTTTTACACAGGTAAATTATCTAAATACTTCTCCACCACATTCTGGCCTGCTGTAATGCCTCATGCAGCTTCCTGTTTCAAAGCACAGGTCGGCCTCACTGAAGCAGGAAGATGCATCATGTGGAACCGTACATTTGTGTGTCAGTATGTGTGTGAGATGGAGGTTATTGACACCTTTTTGAGGGAGACATCACGAACTGCAATGCAGGTGTGCAAACAACAAGGAATGCATTGTTTGTTAACGCCCTAGGTTCAAGCAACTCAACTACATGTTCACAAATGCCCAGCGGCTACTTTTAGTGTTGGTGTCACACCCAGACACTGTGTGAGTGTAGCAGCTCTACCTGCAGCCACACCTCATCGGCTCTTTTAATCCACTGGCTCTTGCGAATGCAGTTAGCAAAGTGTGTGTGACTTTGTACACAGATGGGACGGCTCAAAGGTAGGCCGCTGCTCCTTCCATATCTCAGGAATGAGGAAATGTTTACACTGTCATACAGAAGAGCGCTGTTTACAACATGACACACACACAGATCATGAATCACATCTTCGTTGAAAGAGTGAACTCTGAGCCTGCTTGTTGCCTCTCCTGTCCGAGCTCATGGTGAAGCACCCCCGATATGTCACAGGTTGTTTGGTTAGCAGGAGTCTGTGTTCAGGAAGAGGGACGGCTCCACGGAAAGAGCGTTTTCTTTCACACACAGCTTCATAACATTCACTCACCCAAACTCAGAAAACATGGGCTATTTGTTGACAGATGTCTTTTGAGTGGCTGAGTGATGTGCACAGTTTATGATCTACAACAAAATAATTGAATGGAAAGCCATTCAAGATTGTCTGACCATCTGGACATTATTGAGCTCCCCCCCTTCTATCTCTCTCCCGTTTTCCCCGTCCCCTCTCCTGCACTCAGGCTTCTCTGTGCCTGAGTGCATCGGCCTTCCTGGGTCTCTCTCTCCTGGCTGGCGGTGCCTCATCCAGTCGTTACCTGTCTGCCTTCACTCTCCTCTCTGAAAACAGCTCCCCCATGTTGGCTGGCATATTTAAAGTCTCCATGACATTTGAGAGTTTGAGTTTTCTTGGAGATATAGGTCAGCGATTGTCCCACTCCAGATCCTTCAGATAGCCACACCTGAGCACAAAAGTAGTGAGATCTACAAAGCACATGTACACTGCTGACAAAAGACCGTTTGTTCTATCACAAATCTGGATTACCTCACACACAGTGTATGTATGTAATAATAATGTCATTGGAGAGTTGTACCCAAGGTCTATCCTTAACTTTTCAGACATGAATAGATAGAAATAAGGCTACTGCTCAAAGATGTAGTCTGCCTAAGTTACATTTTCTATCCAGAGGTGCTCCATTTAAAGCAGCTACAACAAATATTTTTACATCAACAAAGGATCACACTTGCATGTGAGAGGACCCCTCTCACATGCAAGTGTGATCCTTTGTTGCTCACAGTGAAGAACAAAGGGAGACTCTGGAGTTCCCCACAGCTCTTAACGTCCTTCTGCTGATTATTTTGCTTTTCTAGCCCGCAGCTTTACTGTTCTGGACTAGCTGGTGAACACAGTGGAGCATTTAGCAGCTGAAGAGCCAGATATTTCCCTCAGGAGCTGGTGGAGACCAAACACAGAGCTAACAGAGAGAGACTACTGGACAGAAAGATGAATGCTAATGTTGCTCCGTATCTGCTAATGTTTATGGGCAACTGTTCATTAACAAGTTTGTATGTTATGTTTACAGCTTGTTTCAGCATCACCACTTCGGAGAGGTGGTAGACTTGTGTGTGTGTTGGGAGTGTGTGCCTGTATTTGTCTTTTGTTGACCCTCAGAGGAGCACATGGCAGGAAACACAAAGCCTTAACCCAGCTCCTATCAATACAGATACTGCCTCACTCCTCCTCTCAAAGGTGACCATGAGTACAAGCGTGCAAGAGCAGAGCACACCCCGGACTGAGACTGGGAGCTCCAACAGCAAACCTATTTTAGCGTGAGCTTTGCCTGACTACGTCAGGCAGTGCGTTTGGTCGTAAAGGGAAAGCAGCTCTAAGATATAAGGAGGTGTAGAATGGTCAAATATTTTGGAACTGATTCAGAGCCGAGCTGCAGTATTTTGTAGAAGTTGGAGTCAAGAGGTCCCTTCAGTTACCCCTTTAGCATCATTTCTGGACATGTAGTGTCGAGTTAGCAATAATAAATATACAATGTCTGGTTAGCCTTTGAAAATGAAACATGTGGTTAACTTTTTGATATGGTCGCGATCATGGTTTCGTTAAAATAAGTATGATAGTTACGTATGCAAGAAAGTTTGTATGGGTGCTCTGTTTTCAAACTTAAAGGTTGATGTTGCCATGCAGAACATTTATTGACCCCTTAACTTAAACTTGAGACAAAATTTTAAATGAGTGCTCTGTATGTTTTAGTCTCTAGATTCACTGCAGCCGTTTAAACCTATTCCATTTGTTAGAACATGTCTTAATGCAGACCACTGAGCATACAGTACCTGGTGCAGTTACATATTGCTGGATGTCATGGGATCAATCAGAGCTTGAGTTCAGGTGTATCATCTCGCATCATGCCTGGCTTTAGTTTGCACTTCTTTTGTTTATGGGGTGGGTCAACATCTGTCAATTTAACTACTTTTGCAGTAAAACATTTTCATACAAGAATCCATTTCATATAAGATCTTACAGAATATGAACAACAGTGATTTGTTCTACTTCCAGTAGGGGGACCTCAAGATTGTGGGTGTCTTCCCACTAGCCTGGAGGTGAGAAAACTTATTTTTTACCAGAAATAGCCTGCTGTATGAAGAACACCAGCTGAGGCTATACAGTAGTTTTTATTTAGCAGTAAATGAAAATTATATGTGTGCGTATCTGTGGCTGTAGTACATGCCTTGACCTTACTGTGTTAAAGTTTGCAAACAGCTGGACTGCCACTACTAATCTCTGCCTGCCTCCGCACGTGAAACAGGTCTCAGGTGATATTTAGGTGTCTTTTATGTCCTCAGGACAATTTGTATGCATTTGCTTGTCTTGGGGAAATGCATATTGTAGCCTTAGGTGGCCTGAAACAGTACACTCAGTCAGGTAAAAGCCCCAGGTGAGTCACTGTGGGCGCTGCAGTTCAGTATTCTGAGTGCTGGAAGCCAAAACAAAGTCTAAACAGTATCTGAGCTTAGTGTGTTAGTATGTGTGTTCAGGTGACTCGCCTGCTAGCCAGCAGGCTAAGTTACTGTGTGGTGTGCAAAGTATGGACCTCAGCTCTACACGTTCAGGTTCACGTTCACTTTGAATTACTTGTTGTCTGGCAACCTCATGTAGACTCCAGGAAGTGGCTGCTATGCCAAAGAAATAGTCCAGCACATAACCTGTAGTGGTTTTACTACAAAAAGAGCTAATCAGGGAGCTTTAGATGTTCTAGGAGGTGGGTTCTGTTCCCTTTAGCCAGAGCCAGGCTAGCTGTTTCTAGTCTTTATGCTAAGGTAGGCTAACCACCTGTAGCTTCATTTTTTTTTTTTGCACACCTGTGTGTTTAGTCTCTGTGTTCAGCATTTGTTCATTTAGCTGACGCTTTTATCCAAAGTGACTTACAAGTGCTGTACATGTCAGAGGTCACACGCCTCTGGAGCAACTAAGGGTTAAGTATCTTGCTCAGTGCATGGGTCACAGTGGGGATTGTACACAGGTCTCCCACACCAAAGGCAAGAATCTTATCTATGCGCCATCACCACCCACAGATTTCAGCTATGCCTTGAATCAAAAGAGCGTATCTGGAGTGTGTGTACAAATCCTGTTTGTACTCTCTGTATTTGTCTTGGGTTTAATGACGTTTGTATAAAGAGCCAAAGAAGGACGCCTTCAAATGAGTGTTTGAGTAACAGTCCAAAACACAAAGCTATTGAATTTAAGTGAGAAGCTGAATCCATTAAACATCATGTAAACACATGATGTTTAATGGATTCACTGACAAACTGTTTTGGCACTAGTTCTGATGTGTAAGGCAGGCACAGCAGCAGAGTGTAACGCATCTTTAATTTGTGTGGTGTGGTCTAGTCTTGCCTAAGTGAGTGTAGTCAAGACGCTCTCTTTGTTTTGGCTGTCAGATGTGTGACAAGTGGTAGTCAGGGTGGGGAAAGGTGTTTCCTCTGGCAGCTGCTAAATTTCCTGGAAACAAATTAACTCTTGACTTCCAGGTGATGACCTGGGCCTGGTTTTAGTGAGAACAGCGGGCGACTGTACTCAGAGTATCAGGAGTAATTTGACCTTGTTATTGTTGCTGCCACTCTGGCCGTGAATCACAGCCACTTAAGATTCATTCTGGTAAAGGTGCAAACTGAAACCCACCATGACTCACTCTGGATTGTGGTGGTTTGTTTTTGTCACTGGATGACACTAAATGGCCCAAGTCTCTGCAGTGGACACCATTTACCTCAAACACGTTTCATGCTGATCATTTATCAGATAAACTCAACTAAGAGGAATCAGTGCTACTTGTGGAGGAGCGCTGTGAGACAGATATGGCTTGAATACTTGATATGTGATTCACTTTAGGAGACTCACTTTCTTGCGTTCTGAACTTTAAGCCCACTGCACTAGAGTCACACACACACACACACACCCTCGGTCAGAGAATGCTCACGAAAGGGTGGAGTCGGTGCAGTGGGACTACAGTCTGCACGAGGGGACTTGATGATCCGGGAAGAATCCAAGGAGAGGTTTCCAGGGAATTACGCAGCGTCAAACTATACACCGGGATGTGTTTTAGTCTAATCCTGCTTTGAAATCACATCCTGTGCTAATTCCTGTAATCTGACTTGTATTTGGACATATCTAGAAGAAGCTGCTGGTTTATTTGCAGTCATGGAGCGTCCTACGTTGGCCCTGTCGCGTCTTCAGTTGGAGCCACGAGCCGCGCGTAAAAGCGAGTGGCTCCGGAGCGCCCTGGTCCATCACCACTGCCCCGATCTCGGCGTGGAAAACGAAATCGTCGTCTTGGCCACTGGAATAGACCAATACCTACAGGAGGTGTTCCACCACCTGGCCTACCCCAACCGGGACGATACCGTGTCGGCGGAGGATTTCACAGCGCTGTGCGTCGTGCTGGGACTCACTAGAGGAAAGAGGACGGCGAAAGGAAGGAAAGGGACTGGAGCTGAAGAAGATGAAGAGTTTCGGGATGTGTATTCTGGCCTGCCCCGCCAGCTGTCCTTTAAAGACTTCCACTCGCGGCTCTGTGGGTATTTCCGCGTCCGCAGTGCTCGTAGAGGTACCGGGGAGTGTGCCTGGCGCCTGCCCGTTGCTGAGGACACGGAGCTGGTGGAGCGACAGATCCGCCTCCGGTGGCCGCGAGTCAGACGGCGGAAATGTGAGCTGACCAGGGATCAGCATGAACGGAACAGCTCAATTAAAGTTGGAACAGCAGAAGACCGCGAGTCAGGTACTGTACCAGGACGTTTTTACTGCATTTTAACGGCTCCTGTGGCCGGGTACTCTCCATCAGGTACACATCCTGCAGCAACGCCAGAGGTATCCTGATCCCTCAGGTATAAAAAATACTCCACCTGCCTTCAAAAGGTTTCTTATGTTTGTTATCAGTGTTACTAATACTACAATATCAATGTAGTATGATTGGATTAGTTTCACTGTTGTAGCTGTTGGAGGTAGAGCTCATTTGAACTTTTAATCAACAGTTATGTGGTGACTTTATACACCCACCATATGTTATGTATGTATATGTGTATTTCCCTCTGTGTAGCAGCATAAAATGGAGGTACAGTAGTGCAGTACTTAATGTCACTGAAACGTGATCTGACATGAAGACGTGTGGCAAAGTAGCAACAGAGGCCTGAACACAGCTCCTGTTCTGCTCCAGGAGGACTTCACTTTCACTTTACATGCATTACATTTATTCATTAAGCTGACGCTTTTATCCTATTATTCAGAGGTCTTTTGTATCCAGAGGTCGCCTCTGGAGTAACTAGGGGTTAAGTGTCTTGCTCGGGGCCCACTGGTGTCTCACCGTGGATTCAAACCCGGGTCTCTCACACCAAAGGCATGGATCTTATCCACTGCACTACCCTGTTAACAGTCTCTCCTCTCCCCTCTCCTCCCCTCTGCCCTCTCCTCTCCAGATGTGGTGGTAGCTCTGAGAGAGCTGGTGGAGGACCTCCGCTCAGCGCTGCAGGGGAGTGACGCTCGCTGCCTGGCCCTGGAGGTGGCCCTCAGACGGGGCAGGAGCACCATCCCTTCTCCATCCAGCTTCAACTCAACTGCTTTAACTCCCGCGACCTCCACCACCCTTGTACAGGGAAAACTGGTACCAACACGCAGAATCAAAGGACAGTGCAGTAGAGCTGGAGGAGACAGGGCGATGAAGGAGGCGAGGAGACGGGACATCAGGGACCCCCTTCTGAGGGAGCTGAAGCTGATCCGCTCCTCACGCGATGGGCAGCTGGAGGAGGCCATCAAATTCAATGAGTGTTTGGAGGAGGAGCTGCGGTGGGTGTACCAGGAGGTGCGCAAGCTTCAGGGGGTGAAATCTGCACTTAGGAAGGAGAATGCTCAGATCAGGTTGGAGGTGTTTTAAGTTCACTGAATGGAGTTTGAATGGAGAGCTATTAGAAGAATTGTTTGATAATCTCCATCAGGAGGCGGGCGCAGGAGGCCAGGGAGGCTCTGAGCTTGGGGCTTCAGAGGGTTCAGATGATCCAGGAGGAGGCTCAGTCTGTCCCGCAGCTGCAGGCCAGGATCACCCAGCTGGAGGCTGAACTCCAGCAGTACAGGTGCAAACACCTTTGCTCCACTCTGGGGCGAATGGAGGGCAAGGGGGGTTTGTGCATCCATTTGCCCATCATTTGCCTCTGTGCTTTGCTGATTTGAATGTCAGTGCACTAAACTAACAGCTTACGTTCCACAAGTGCTGAGTAAAAGTAGGGAAAGTTCTGTTGTCAAAGCCACATGACACACACGTCTGTATTAGCAATGAATCAAATGTGTAATGTGATGTGTCACAGTAGCGATGAGAATCAGAGAACAATCACCTCTGCACCTCCCCTTATCTCTGCAGCATGTGATGGGCACTACTTTAATCTGAAGCCAGGTCATTGAGAGCCTTTAAAGTAATCAATAAGACCTTAAAATCAATCCTGAAACAAACAGGCAGCCGATTTTAGGAGGTTAAACCAGGTGTCATCATACCTCCTGGTTTTTCACAATCTTTTGATAACCACCAGAGATGAGGCTGTGGCAATAATCAGCATGAGAAGAAATAAAAGCATGACCCAGAGTTTCTGCATCTCACCCAGGGGGAGCTTAGAAAACTAATAAAAGAGTAAGACATGTCTGCCTATTACAATCATCAGTT